TATCTATCTATCTCTCTGTCTGTCTGTCTGTCTGTCTGTCTGCCTGCCTGCCTGCCTGCCTGCATGCATGTCTGTATGTCTGCCTGTATGTCTGTCTGTCAGTCTGCATGCATGTCTGTCTCTGTCTGTCATCTATCTGTCTGTCTGTCTGTCATCTATCTATCTATCGTCTATCTTTATGTCTGTCTTTCATCTATCTATCTATCTATCTATCTATCTGTCTGTCTCTGTCTGTCATCTGTCTGTCTCTGTCATCTGTCTGTCTGTCATCTATCTGTCTGTCTGTCATCTATCTATCTGTCTGTCTGTCTGTCATATTTTTATCTTTCTGTCTATCTTTGTCTGTCATCTATCTATCTATCTATCTATCTGTCTGTCTGTCTGTCTTTATGTCTGTCTATCTGTCTGTCTGTCTGTCTGTCTGTCTATATATCTGTCTGTCTGTCTATATATCTATCTGTCTGTTTGTCTGTCTGTCGCAAAATTTGAAATATATTTGAAAAAACTCAAATAGTAATCAGAAATGTGTGGCCTACTGTCAATTTGCAATATTATGTTTATTCAGCCAAAGTCTCAGAATGCCATCACCATTGCTGTGTCCTCCCGTGCCCTCTTGGATCGAGATCAGGACATTTATGAGCTGCAGGGAATGGACGGAGGATTACCTGAAATATCAGATCCAACATGAGATCGAGCCATTCACACTCGGACCTGCTTTCCCCTTCATTAAGGTCAAACCTGTTCTAATGTACTTACATACATCAGTGATTAGCAATGATATCGTTAATGAGAATCTAAAAATTTTTTACAATTATTTCAACTTAAAGGAAGAAAATATTTCTTTTTGTCATTCAGTTATCTTTCTTTCCAAGCTACAGAGCTATGGATACAGAGGGAAATGTTATTTTTCTGTACTGTGGAGGCAGTGAACGCTCGACTCAGGGAGCTTTATCCAGACAGTGAAGAGCTCTTTGATGACCAGCAATCATGCTCATGTGGGACTTCGGCTTATAAATTAAATTAACCATTACCGTAAGTCAAAAGCTCGTAAGGCTCTGTTTTTAACTGGACAAACACCAGGACTTCAACCCCAAAATTAAAATTCTGTCATCATTTACTCACCCTCACTTTGTTCCAAACCTGCATGCTTTCTTTTTTTTCTCTGTGGAACATAAAGATATTTTGAAGAACGTTGGAAACCAAATAGTTTCTGTTTCTGTTGATTTCCATTGTATGGACAAAAAATACAATGGAAGTCAATGGGATTCGAAACTGTTGTTACCAACATTCTTTAAAATATCTTCCTTTATAAGTTTTAGTAATTTTTTTTTGTTGTTGCATTTTTTTTTTTAATATGTCTGTATAGTTCCAATGCCTTGGCAACTAATAGCAATAAAATATATATTTAAATTTTTTTTTTATATAATAGTTTTAGTATACAGTAATTCTTCCATTATGTTCTGCTGTCAATTTATACAGGTTTGGAACAAATTTCCTTGGAAAAAAAATCATTTTTGGGTAGACTATCTATTTAGGTTAACATATTACCTTTGACATCCCTAAATAATAATAATAATAAAAAAATATTTTTAGTACAATTATGTTTCCTTACAGATGCTTAATTCACTCTTTAAACTCATTGTAGTTATTAAGAGATATCTTTTTAAATGCATGTCAGTTTGGTGGCAGTCATAAGCAATTATCTTGTGTTGTTTTTTATTACCAGAGCTGTTTATAGAGCGCTTTTGTATGACTGGAGGCAACAGTCCTGGGTATCTGAAACCCTACCACACCAACCTTTATCTGTCTGCTAATTTCAGTGAAAGTTAGAGAAGCCATTGAAGAAGGTGAGTGGAATGGTTTAGGAAATTAATGAACTTTTAATGGTAGAATCATAAATATACAAATTTTGATTCAATATGAAATTCTTTCATATTGAAGAGAATCTACAAATTCCATGGGCTGGACAAATTCTTTGAGCACGAGAAAGCTCATGAAAATAACCTCTTGATCATGTATGTTCAATTAAAATGTAATAGCAGTGCAATATTATACTGTGTGGATTATAAAAATGTGTTTAAACTCCATTTGATGATCCATAATGCTAATGATGTTTGCTGTAAACACTTTTTCACAAGAAAACAATTATATTATACTTCCGACAAAAGTGAATTATTATCATTTTTCATAGGGACCACTTAAGGGGTTCTTGGAAGCTCTGGGGAAACTATGCCAAAGGTCAGCGCTTGGACTGTCCTATCCGCACCTACTTGTTACAGCTCGCAGTGCAGCCAGTTCAGGCACCCGGGCCCTCAAGACGTTACGTTCCTGGGGTCTAGAGAAAGATGAGGCCCTCTTCCTAGCAGGAGCCCCTAAAGGCCCCATGCTGGAAAAGATCAGACCTCACATCTTCTTCGATGATCAAATGTTCCACGTGGAGGGAGCAGCAGAACTTGGGACAGTGGCGGCTCATGTTCCCTATGGAATAGCCCAGAAGTTTCAATCAAAGACAGTGAGGGATGTAAAAAAAAGACATGTCAGCCAAGCAGCTAGAGTGAATACTGCTCTGTCCATCTGGGGTGTGACGAGTGATCCATTTAAATCAGGTTTTTAAAGGGATAGTTCACCCCAAAAATTAAATTCTGTCATCATTTACACAACCTCAAGTTGTTCCAAACCTGTATGAGCTTATTTTTTCTGTTAAAAGAAAGAAGATATTTTGAAGAATGTTGGTACTCAAACAGTTGACGGTAGCCATTGACTTGTATGGAAAAAATACTATGAAGATCAATGGCTACTATCAACTGGCTGCCAACCAATTTTGTGCTTTTTTGTCACATTGCAAAAAAGATAACCAAAATAAATAAACAAAGGCCAGAAGGGCCAGTTTGTCAATGGCAGACCCTCTGCACTGAGCATCATAGCTTTGAAGTTGTTTACTATGTTATATCAAGCCATAAATAAACAGAGAAAGAAAACTGTTAAATGGGCAATAAGTGGTATACTGTTAAGTTAAATGGTTACATTTTCTGATCTAATGTAATAGCAAATGTTATTTAATTTATTATGCCACAGTCTAAGTATTATCTGAAGCTAAAATGCACCAAATCACCTTTAACACTTCTGGCCTTGCATATATTTGGTTTTATATTGTAATTGCCTTGTTTTGAATGAACATCTCTGTTATTGTTTACCATAAAGGGCTGTTTTGCACTCTGTATTGTAACCTTTATATGTGTATATCTGTTATGCAGTATTTTAATCAGTGTTACTATGTATACAAATTGGGTTCACTTGTTGCGGTGTTTACCATGGATGTGAAATCCTGTGTTACTAACTCAGGGCATGCTCAAGTCTGAACATCATAATAAACAGTGAAGAGGAAATATGTTGAAAAATAGACCATATTTTTTCTGCAATATGGGTAGGTAAAGTAGGTAATAAACTTCCTCCCAGTCATCTGAAATGCAGCAGTTTGGACAGTGCGAGAGAGATACTCTGTCACTTGTGTAAAGCAAAACAAATGAAGCTTTGGGCGAAATGACAGAAATTTCCCTATTTCTCTACTTCTTCAAATAAGCCCAAACTTAAAATTACCACTGTGTTTGTGTGTGTGTGTGTGTGCGTGTGTTTGTGTGTGTGTGTTTGTGTGTGTGTGTGTTTGCGTGTGTGTGTGTGTTTGTGCGTGTGTGCGTGTTTGTGCGTGTGTTTGTGTGTGTGTGTGTTTGCGTGTGTGTGTGCGTGTTTGTGCGTGTGTGTGCTTGTGTGTGTGTTTGTGTGTGCGTGTTTGTGTGTGTTTGTGTGCGTGTGTGTGTGTCTGTGCGTGTGTCTGTGCGTGTGTGTGTGTGTGTGCTTGTGTGTGTTTGTGTGTGTGTGTGCGTGTTTGTGTGTGTTTGTGTGTGTGTGTGTGTGTCTGTGTCTGTGTCTGCGCGTGTCTGTGCGTGTGTCTGTGTGTGTGTGTGTCTGTGTCTGTGTCTGCGCGTGTCTGTGCGTGTGTCTGTGTGTGTGTGTGTCTGTGTCTGTGTCTGCGCGTGTCTGTGCGTGTGTCTGTGTGTGTGTGTGTCTGTGTCTGTGTCTGCGCGTGTCTGTGCGTGTGTCTGTGTGTGTGTGTGTCTGTGTCTGTGTCTGCGCGTGTCTGTGCGTGTGTCTGTGTGTGTGTGTGTCTGTGTCTGTGTCTGCGCGTGTCTGTGCGTGTGTCTGTGCGTGTGTGTGTGTGTGTGTGTGAAGGACAGTTACCATAGTAACTGTAATGGGTCCTGTTGACTGTTTTAAGGGAGGGACTTCAAAAATGTCGTCATTTGCACTTCTGTGTTTACTGTAAAACAAAAAGCAGAAGAATGTCGTCATTTGAGAAACTCTTTTGGACCTTTGACTGGCGTCCAGCTTGTTAATCTGTCACCCACTTTAAATATTACGCCTAACTTCTGGATGGTGCTCACTTTAGTTCGTGTTTATAGAATGTTTGTAGATGATACAATAGTAAGGTAACAGTAAATAGTTTCAGTCTTTGATTCAGGTCACATGATTCGTGTCATATGACACTGATGAGAGCAGAAATCTTCCACAGTTACCAATAATACACTCTTTTACCAATGCTGTCGTCTACCGTGATGAATCCAGATGGCTAAACAGATGTGGGGACTCCTGAAGTAAATCGCTGGATCATGGAGAGTTTGGGAGTTTTGTCCGTTCTCGCCACCGCTTGTGTTTTGGGTGAGTTTCCGAATCACAGCAAATTAACAGATAAACTGTGACTTTTAACACAATGTCAAACCGCATTTTAATATTTAACTTTTATCAGTGAGCTAATATTTAAAATATGTTGAAGTGCCATGGTCGTGAGGAAAATATGTAAAGGTTTCACTTTTTGAACGGCTGCAACATTTCGCTTTGTGAATGAGCCATTTTCAAAATCAGTATTAAATGTCTATCTAGACTATATATATATTTATTTATTTATTTTTATTTTTTTAACATAATGTTTAATATCTTTATAGGAGAAAAATATATACATGTATAATTGTGTTTAGGTGTTTTTAAAAATCAGTTTCCACTATGTATGTATATGTGTGTATGTATTATTTATTTGTGGTTGTTTGTCAATACAGAGATACATTTACTACATCTTTAAGATATTTTAACAAAACCACATTCTTCCTGATAACTAAGACAGGCCTAAACCCAACAATAGGCTACCTGCAAAAAATCAATATCACAATACAGCTCTGCTTAGTAAACAAAGACGGGTTATTGGCCTGCCACAGCAGTGTTCTGTAGTGATTTAAGTTTTTATGACCTCTGATTCATTCGTCAATGTCGATGTTATTTGTCAAATTACTCGTTTGTGTGTTTCAAAGAATTAGTTCAAATGATCTGAACAGTTTATTAACAAGTCAGTAAGAGTCAACCATTTTCCTCTGAGTAAGTAGTGAAAGCTTGGAAGAGAAGAGAACAATTAGAAACATGGTTCCTGGGTCCCTCACTTGTTCTTAGTATTTCTGGAGTGAAATCGAGTCATATGACCATCCCCTCAGAATAACTGTGTTTCTTCAGTGGGTGCTCGTGTTGCTGAGGGTGACCGGCCTCATGGCTAATGTGATTACATTCACAATAAAGACTCTGTTTGCCTTTCTGCTGATGGTTAACAACCATGCTATGCCATTTACAGTATACATCAACAGACAATAAAAACACACAATCGAAGGAATATGAGTGTGATGCAATAGACCCTTAAACTAACCTTGTCAAAAAGCTGAGCAGTACTGAGCCAAAATGAGAAATCATGTAATATTAACTGCTTTTATGACCTTCTTTGTAAACAACTTATAAAGCACAGTCCACTTAAAGCTAAATTAGAGACCGTTTTTTGAAAAAGGTCTTATATGCTCATTAAAGCTGCATTTATTTGTTATTGTGAAGTAATTACAATTAAAATAAAATTTTCAATTGTGATTTATTTTGGTGATGGTAACGCTGAATTTTCAGCATCTTCAGTGTCACATGATCCGTCAGAAGTCATTCTAATATGCTGATTTGGTGCTTAAGAAACATTCATTATTGTTATCAAAGATGAAAACGCTTGTGCTACTTATTATTTTTGCTTTTAAAGGGGTCATATGATGCTTTTTTAAAGATCATTATTTTGTGTATTTGGTGTAACAGAATATGTTGACATGCTTTAATGTTCAAAAAACACATTATTTTTCAAAAACTGTACATTATTGTAGGTCCTCTATGCCCCGCCTCTCTCAAACGCTTCGTTTTATACAAAGTCCCTCCTTCCGACAAGTGCAGTCTGCTCTGATTGGCCAGCTGACCCAGTGCATTGTGATTGGCCGAACACCGCAAGCACTCATCGGAAATGTAACGTCCCTTACCATAATCGCGAGCTTCATCTTTCAAAATAAATGTAAAGACAGAGCCCGAAAGGGGAACAGAGTGTCTGTGACAGACACAGTGATGAAGCTGGTATGTGTTTGCAGCCTTGTAACACTCCAAAGAGAAAGGAAAACTTGAAATCGCATCATATGACCCCTTTAAGACCATTGTGTCATTGTGTCATTTCCCCCGCCATTGTGCAGGAGTGGTGATGAGTCAGACAACACTCAGTCCTGCTGTGACGATCACCACAGTCAGTGCAAACATGAGCTCTGCCGCTCCCAGCACTACAGCGCTCAGCTGCTCCGGCCTCAACACTTCCACCTGCGCTGCCTGCGCTCCTGGCTCTTATTATGATAATGGTGGGTGCTTTTGTGTGTGTTAAGAACGTGGTTTCATTTTGATTTCATGTTGTCTTAAAAGTTGAAGTTGACGCATGCACTTTCTCTTTCTGTGGTCTCAGAAACTCTGTTGTGTTCTTGCTGTCCTGAGGCCGGTCTGTGTGTGTTACCTGGAGCCTGTCTTCTGTGTGTCCAGGGTTTCTATCAGCCTCTAGCAGGACAGCAGGGCTGTCTGCCCTGTTTATCTGGGTTTTACAGCAAGTGAGAGGAGAAAGCATTACACTGTTGTTTATTCAAAGCATACACAATCCTTCCATGCCAAGGCTTTAACCATTTTTTCATTAGTTCCACTGGAAGCCCCTTCTGCCAGCCATGTCCTACTGGGTCCTACAGCAGTAACACAGGCTCTGCCTCCTGTACAGCCTGTGCACCAGGTAACAAGTGACATACATACATATGTAAATTAATTAATTCATTCATTCTGCTTTCCTGCCTAAATAAATTGACATATTGAGGGGTGGAGAAAAACAAGCAAATGCAACTACATATTGAAATACTGAGGGGAAAATAAGAATTTAGATTCATTAGAATTTTTTATTAAAATATATAAAAGTGTATTATTGTATATTTCACTGGAATCGTTCAAAATGATTCTTTATTATATAAAAGTATACGCATCTATGAAAAAAAAAAAGCATAAGTATTATATACCTTACATTTATGAGATGTAAAATGTAATTTGAAATTAAGCATTTAATAAAGCATTAATATATATATATATATAAGTCACTGGGGTATATTTGTAGCAATAGCCAAAAATGCATTGTATGGATCAAAATTATTGATTTTTTTTTTAATGCCAAAAATCGTTAGGATATTAAGTAAAGATCATGTTCCATAAAAATATTTTGTAAATTTCCTACTGTAAATATATTAAAACTTAATTTTTGATTAGTAATATGCATTGCTAAGAACGTCATATGGACAACTTTAAAGGCGATTTTCTCAGTATTTTGATTTTTTTGCACCCTCAGATTCCAGATTTTCAAATAGT